TATGCAGCCTTATGCACTTGCTCTTGTCTAAATTTATTTCAGTGCCTTTCAGGGGCCAGCAAATGTAAAATGGATTAGATATAAGTGAGCTATTGTTTTTGTTCAAAATGGTTATTTTTCAAGTTTATGTTCCTGAAGTTTCTGTTGCATTGCTTTATGTTTGCTTGCAACGTTCTAGGAAGAAAAGCTAAGCTTTGTTCTTTGTGCTCTTCACGTGAGCTGGAATAAGTTGATTTCTTTTTCATATGAGTTTCAACAGGGGAATTAGGTCTTACCAGTCTTCTAAATTCTTATTCTGTGGCTATTCTGTTTCTGAATTTTCAAGTAATGAACTTGTCTGAGCTACTGAAGCCCAGATACAAATCCAATTTTCTGATGTATTGGAAAGGAGGAAAAAAAATTAGGAAAGATGTATTGGCATCTTTTGTCATTTTTAGCCCTCTTGTCACCACTTACATTTCCTTATTAATCTGTATTCTATGCACAGACATGTATGTTTGTTTAAATACATGTGATAACTTCACACACTTTCAAATTAAACTTTCATAAGTCTGTGTATCTTATCTGTTTTCATTTATAATATTCTTGTTGCTTTAGAGTATTCAAATTCCAATGTCATTTCTCTTGTATGTTGAGAAAGTCTTGATACAAATAAGAAAGCAAGTTCCAACACTTATGATGTCACACACTTTGAAATAAGAAAGAAACCAGAAAAAAAAATCCTATAAGCAAAGCATAACTAAGTGTAGCATCTTTGTCTTTTTTTTCTTTATGTGTGTATATTTTATTGTTACCTTAGAAACCAGAATGCCATGGACAATTGCCAAGTCATGTTAAGTTTGTTTCAAGTATTTGATCTTTTACTCAAGATATAGATTACAAAATAAACTGCAGAAGATCATAGATGGTTAATTTCAAGGCTTTAATCAGTCTGAAGTTTATGTAAAAGGCCAGGTACTTCAGACTATTTTAGATTAAAGCATTTTGAGAAGTTTAAATAGGAAGATGTTTTTTTTTTTTTTTTAAAGCACATAGTATATTGATTTTAGTTTAAAGTGTATTGTCTCCCAAATTTTGCTTAGAAGACAGATGTATGTGAGAAAAGTTAAGTTAGTTATAAAACTATGATTGATAACTAATTTCTTAATGGAAATTTACTAAGTGTATGTTTTCTCTCATCGCCAGCAGATAGATAGTCAGTAAGGGCAGCAGCAGCAGCAAGCTAGATTGATGAATGAGTGTAATTCAGTTTCTTTGTATTGTACAGCTTGAGAAATGCCAGTGGCCTGACAGCAGCAGACCTTGCACATACCCAGGGCTTCCAAGAATGTGCCCAGTTTCTCTTGAACCTCCAGAACTGTCATCTGAATCGTTACTATAGCAATGGCACCTTAAATGGGGGTCATCAGAATGCAGGTCCCAATCCATTCAATGGTGGGACAAGTCGAAAGAGATCCTTTGAAGATGTGGAGTCTGCTGGAGTAAAGAAAGCTAGAACGGAAGGTGAGACCCTAGAGGTAAAAGGGATGGGGTGACACTGTTGCTGAGAGAGGAAAATAAACGTTTTAAAGCCTTTCAGAGTGGATGTCGAGTATTATTCACAAACTCACCAACATATCTAAATTAAGCATTGATACCAGAAGCAGGTAAATACAGTTGTTCCATCCTTTGAAGAGTGTACACATGTCATATGGTCTCATTTCTCCCTGTCATCATCTTGACGTCTTCTGAAATTTCTATTCCCAGGGAGTACTGTAGTTACACGACACCAAGAATAACACACAGAAGAGCAGAAGCTGAAATTAGCTTCTGCTTTCCTTGCTTTCTTCTCATTTAGAAGAGCCACATAATATTCTAATTCACAAAGAAGCCCAGATGTTCTGATGGTAATTTTCCATTTTGGGATTCATTTATTCTTCAGAAATGGTTTACTAAGCAAGATGGATGAAATAAATTTGATGCAGAAAGGTTTCTGCGTTGGTATGGATTGTGTTTGTAACACGAAGTGAACGTACACTAAATATCCAGGATCATTTTCCAAGGGGAACTGTTAGATTATACAAGACTATCAGATGGGAATGAATCTGAGGGATTCATATTCAGCCCAGTGCGATGAGGGTGCTGTTTCTGCCGGCAATGATAGGATAATACCTTGAAGATATTTTTGGTGGCTATATGAAGAAATCTTTTTCAAATCTTAAATACTGCATGAATAACATGAGAGAATATCCTGTTGCCTTGCTGCAGACGTCCTTTTAAACTCATACTGAAGAGGAATTGAGCATTCTGTACTCAAACCTCCTTTGTTCCTGTACCAGCAATGGAATAGGGATTCTACAGACAATCACTGAAGACATCTTCATGAAACCGTGTTTTGTTCTAATAAGCGTGTTTTACAGTGAGTCAAAGAAACCTGGGCTTAACTGGTGCTTAACTGCAGGTAGTGAGAGTGGAAATGAGACCAAAGAAACATTTTAAAATCTGATACGAATAAAATAAATCACAACAACATTGTCACTCCATAGCATTTGCTTTAGTACTTACTATCCAGCCACCATTTCAGCTGTCCTGGGATTGGAGGCATTAATGTGTTTACTCTGAAGCTAAGAATATGGTATAAGATATACCACTTTATCTAGTTGTTCCAAACTAAATAAATTCCTGATGGTAAAGAGCATCTATTCAATTAAATGGAAGGTTATGTTTCAAGGAATGAAGTCTTTAAGTAGTTGCTTGGATTGAGAAAATGCAGTACACAGTTGGACATAACAGCTGAGGAATGATGTTTTCAGTGCATTCATGTTCCGGTAATGAGAAGATGTTGCTTGAAGACAGAGATAAACACCTTTGATCTTGAAGAGCTATTCTTCTGGATATTCATAACCAGCAAGCTCTTTCATTTCAGAAAATTGTTCTAAGGTAGACAGTAGGTACCATTTCCCCAAAATCTGCAGGAGTGGCACTGGGCCATTTATGATATGTTGCCGTGAAATAGCGATATCCGCATTATCTTTCCACATAAGGAGTTGGAGTAATGGGTAAGTCAGATGAAGCAAACAAGTACAATATGTTCAAGTGAATGAGGTCTCTTAGCCAATTACCGAGATATCAGAGAAGCAATCAGAATAGGTATTTTTTGGAGTTTTTTTTTTACCAGTATGACTTTTAACACCTTTGCAAACAAGGTAGAAACTGCTGCCTTTGCTTGAAGATTTTTAGAGTAATTAAGAGATGCATCCAAACTCGAAATTTCTGATGCAGTGTCTGCCTTCAAAGACATCAACGTCAGTAATATCACAGTAATGTAAAAAGCCTGTTGGGAATGAGAATGAGTCACCTTTCTTGAGGCACCTTGTAAACAACAAAGGTGAGTAATGAGGAGTCATCAGTACATCTTTGAGCTTAGCTAGCCTTTTTTAAAAAAACAAGCAAATTCAGGCAGATTTGCCTTTAGCATTGCCATTTATTTGCACATGGGATTCCAGATATCCAGAGAGTGCAGGCAGTTACGACCAGATTACAGCAATTGAGAAAAGCTTACACAATGTCTTGGCACGGTATACACAATTTGCAATGAGATTGTAAGCAGTGGAGTACGGAAAAATATGAAACAAGCTTCACCCTTTGTCCTGGAATAGCTAAACTGGAGAGGAGATGAACTTTATGTACACGATTTTGGGGTTTTTTTGCACACTAATCTGCTATTGGGCACATAGTATTAAAAAAGCCTTCAGCTTCAAACTTATGCAATGCTGATAGCAAATGCAATACAAGAATAAGCTCCAGAAGCTGAAAAAATGTACACTGGTAGCTTCTGTTGCAAGTCTGCATTCAGAATACACACTGAATAATTTCCACTTTTAACTTAGAAACATCAGCTGAATTTTATGTCGGTTCTTCTGAAGTGAGTTCCAGAAATCTGTCTCTCTGATTCCTGGGGCAGTTGGGTCACACAGTCAAATACAAAGATGATACATGCGAGGCCAGTTGATCATTTGTGTGTTTGTTGCAGTCCTTCTCATCCATCTACCCCACAGCCTTTGGCAGACTGGCTTTTGCACTGTGCTGTACAAGCTCAACACACTTAGTTTGATGTGTGCAGGAGGTGACCAACTGCATATCATGACATTCGACATGGCTGCTGTTGGGTTATCTTTGTGGGATGAAGATGGGGAGCATTGCTGAGTGGCTGTACCCTTGCATATGCCAGCATGAAACTGCACACCATATTCCTCTAGATATCCAGAGAAAATGTTTTTCTCTTCCTGGTCTAGGGTGATATAAATCTCACTTCTCTATGGTCTCCTTTAAGACCTATGTTAACTCCGGAGCCCTGAAACACACTAGCAATTGCTTAAGGTTCATTAAAAGCAAGTAGTTTACTAAGATTTCCCTTGTGCCAAAGTAATGCAAAAAGACTTGCAGTCTACTGAAGTAGCCCCTCTATATTATGATGTGTGTGCAGAGTATAGAAAAGTGTGTCAGCAAAAAAAAAAAACTGCAGGGTCTGTTGGGCTAATACTGAAGGGGTGCATTGGCGGGTGCTGATAAGAGGTGGTGCAGTCACACCCATTTTGCTTATTAAAGCATTTCCCACGTCTTGACACTTCTTGGCTTTTATCAAGAGAAATCTATGTTCAGTTCTTGGATGGTCCCTGGAACATCTCATGAGTAGGACATGAGTTAATATGAGCTGGAACTTGGGAGCAAAGGGGGAACAATCATAACTGACACTGAATGCTCTCTGGGATAGTCTGCTTATATCCACAGGGCATGCTACCTGGGCAACCTAAATTACTCTAGTCAACTTACACCTAGTAATTGCTTGATACGTAGGTGCAAAGTCTGATAAGTATGGTGGTAATTCTGCATTTTTGAGGATAGTAATGAAGATGCAGCTACTCACCCTTTGCTTATTTCACATTTGTTATCTCAAATGTCGGAAGCTTTCACACATGAACAGTTTAGATTTGTATGTAAAAAGCTTTTGTTTTAATAGTGAAAGTACTCATCTGTTTGTTGGCTGAGTTTTCAAGTGTGCACCAGTGACTAAGCAAACCTCTTTTTTTAATCAGCTTACAGCTTTGATGGCTTAATACCAATGATGAATGGAGGAGTTGAGGACGATGCTGACAATATGCACGTTGACAGAGAGTTTGCTGTTGTATCAGGTGGGAGTGGACAGTTTCCTGTTAACTACAACAACATTCAAATGGTCGAAGACACCAAACAACAGGAGAGTAGTTCTGTTGGACCAAAAGAAATTGAAATATACACTGTTTCTGCAATGCAAACGCCTTGTCATTGCAAGAACCAATACGCATTTTATTTTTAAGACTTAATTCTTTACTTTTGCACATGATGACTAGAGTCTTGAAAACTGTTGTATTGTAACACCCAACATAATGGGGTTTTAGTAGGTGTCTAAAATTAGCTGTTTCATGCAATATATTGTAATGGTGAAAGAGAAGGTTTAATAGCAGTTCTCAGATGAACAGAAATCCACAGTGGCTGTTTCACTTCTAACCTGAGGCTTGTATTACGTTGTGCCTTGCTTTTAGTTGCTATGATTTCAGGTTAACGGAAACTCAGAAGTAATGTAAATGATTCACTTTGTTTCCATTAAATAGTTTTACTTGCTGATAAGACTTGATAGGGAAACATATCATAGTGCTTATATAGCTTTGAAAATAATATATGTTACAACTGAACTGTACTCAGCATAGTTTAACAAATGCTATAAAGAATAGTCTAGACTACATAATGTATTCAGAATTTGTTCAGACAATATAAGCACAGGATCTTGCTATGAACAAATTTGTGGATTTTAGTGGAAAAAAAAAGACTGGATACTGATGTTCTTAGGCTAGTTTGGAACTAAATTTGGAACTGCAGTATCGGAAAGCTGTTTGGACTTCGTACATTGATCCTCACGGAACAGTCATAATATTAGTGGTAGTAGTGGATATTAATGGTGTTTTTTTCAGGGCTGCTCAATCAGATGCTTTTTGATAACCCCAGGGTGTGCATAGAGCTTTGATAAAACCTGTTTGGGGTCAGCTTTTCCATGCACTTTGTAGGTAAAGCATGGAGTTACTATGATAGTGCATTATTATAATGAGAAATGAATATCTTACCTTAATTTGTTCTGTGATTAAAATGTTTATGCTTTGTACCACAAATCAGATTTGCCAAAGGGAATGATAATGGACAGATATTTTAATATATTAGAAATAAATATATATACATATATATACAGTCAGTTCTTAAAAAGTAGATTATGATATTTTCCAGTGATAATTACTAAGTGTTCTTATTTATGGAAAAATGATTGTCATTCATAAATATTCTCTATTACTATAGGTGCTAATTTTTAATGCGTAGTAACGTTCTATAATTATCACTAGAATTATTCATTACCTACTTTTGCATATTAACTGTGGGTAGCTCCACTTTTATTAAATTCGACTTGGCAAAGCCAGCCTATAAGGATTTATTTTTAAACAGTTAAAATTTCGCACTTTTCAGTTAATAAACACTATCTGAAATTCTTTCTGTGCGTTTTCATCACTGAAATATTAGCTTTGGTGTCTCGATGGGTTTGGGTGGGTTTTCTTTTTCATTTTCAATAAGAATTTGTTGTTAGTGAGTTCTGTTGACGTCATGAAGGGATGAAACAGGAAACTCCGGTTAGTACACACAGCGAGGTACAAAATTAACACATTTTTTGGCTTTGTGTATTGGTGTATCCATATTTCAAAACATATCCGTGCAATGGACTACTAACCAAAGCTTCTGATTCTTCCTTGTCAAACAGTGGTACTCATGTCACTTAGACAGGAACCCAGTTGTTTTTAAATGTGGAAAGTTACCAGCAGGCAGACTAACTTACTGGCTCGATTTGGAAATACAGCGTAAATGCAGTCCTGTTTTGCACGTAGGTTTATGCATTTATGTATTCACAAACATATGTGCATATATCCAAGAACAACAACGGGACATAAAATCTTTAAATGTAGCTGTATAGACCTGTGGTTTCTCCATTTGCCTCGCTATTCTTTACCAATACAGATATAAATTTTAGATGTCCTTTACCTGTAGGCATTTTAAGGCAGAGTGTATTCTGCAGCTGTTGAGCTAGTACTTTTGAGTACCACTGCAAAAAAAAAAAATGCATTTCAGATATGCTGATGAAATTCTGTTGATGGAAATAATAATGATTGTACTAACTACTAAATCCAACAGGAATTGCTTTAAAACAGTTGTCTATTTTTTTGCATGCACATTTTTAGAATTTTGTTCCCTACTATTAATCTTTTTTTTAGTCTTCTGTGCACTCTGCTGTTGCTATTGTATGGCCTTTTGCATGTGGATTGTACAGATGTTATTATGAACTCATTAATATAAACCTCACTATCTCATCTAGCAAGCTGCTAGATGAGTTGAAGAACTTTCTAAATAAAAGAACTTTGACACATTTTATATTAGCATCCCACCATAACATTTCTTTATTCGACCTACTTCAGTGTATTCTGTGCTGTAAGTGTGACCACTGAAAAGAAAGAAATGAGTCATAGACTAATTACTACAGAAAATAATATTTTAAAAAAGGCAACTCTTCGCCCTGTCACAGATACTCCGTTGTATATTTACAATCTAAGAGCCCAAGAGGGCATTGCAGTTAAGATGAAAGGATGTCTTATTCAATTTTTCAATCTGCTGTCCAGAATGCAGTCTGCTACACTTACAGGAAACAATTTCTGAAAAACTCACAATGTCTTTGAAAGATTAAGACAAATACAGTTGAATGTAGATAAGATAGTTGCATTTTTTACATTAAAATCCATGCCTCAGTCCAGCTCCTACAAACACGAACTGTGTATGTAGTTACTGATAAAGAAAGGGTAGGCTTATTTGCAAAGTTGTGTATGGAAACATTTTAAAAATCAGTGGAGTATAGTGGAGACGTTTTGATGTATTTCGATTGATCCTTAATTTTTGGTGACAGGTGTATTTCTTAATGCAGATATGAATAGCAGTAGCTCCATATTGAATGCACTGACAAATGGATGTGCCATCAATGGACATTTGGATTTCACCGCCGCACAACAGCTCAGTGGGATGGATACCAGGCAAGAAGAATGTTTAACATTAACATCTACTGGAATAATTCCTGGAGTAACTTCTCCCGGTAGGCATCGAATTCATACCAGTAATGGCACCGAGGAGCCAGAAAAGGCCATGAATAATCCCACTGATATGTGTGGATCTCTCCATCTGAATGGAAGCCCGAGTAGCTGCGTTTCTAACCGCCCCTCGTGGGTGGAAGACCCTGGAGATACTTTGCACTATGGACACTACCACGGTTTTGGGGATACTGCTGAAAGCATCCCTGAACTTAGTAGTGTCGTTGAGCATTCCAATTCTGTTAAAGTTGAACAGAGGTATGACAATACTGTCTTAGGCACAATGTATTTGTACCACGGCTCCTAGATTCAACGACCTTCATATCACATGCATATTGAAATTGCTACCAAATGAATCTGGGGGCACAAAATCTTCACATAGCATTACATTTGAAAATTGCAACTTACTGCTATTTTTACACTTTGTTTATATAAAAAGTAAACCTTTCATTTGACAGCCTTATACGATAGTTTTAGTTTGTTGCATGTATGGGGCTTGTTTAGTGATAAAGTAGGTGCTGTTATGATGGAATGGTTATTTTCATTTTTATGGAATGTTCCGGTTTTGTATTTTTTTATTTCTAAGCTTGTGAACACTATCTTTCTCTTTTTAGAGCTGTTTTCCCTTTTATTAAAACTATGTTTAAATGAATTTTGTGAAGAAAATGTTACATATGTGCATCACTTAGAAGTAAAGATTTTCCTTTTCCATATCTTCTGCCGAAGCTATGGTAGTAATATCAATGCCAACTATCACTATGCAAGGTTGGAAAGTGGCAATCTTATGGAGCTTCTCTGACTTTATAGTTTGTACATTTGTTCAGTATAATTAGATGTTCATCTTCACATTTTTGAGCAAGTCGTTTAAAAATGCAGAGGCAAAATTTGGAAAAGTTAATGTTTCACTTTACTATAGCATAGAAGTGCTTTCTGTTGTTGGGCTCTTTGCATTATAGAGTGGGAAGGTGGGTTGCCTTTGTGCAGTCGCAGTCAGGTGTTCCTCAGGTTAGTTCTGAATATGTGGCATTTTCCTTTTGCTTCTCTTCTTTATATGTATGCTTGATATTTTACCATAGCTCACAGACCGGAGGCATGTTGGCACTGTTCTGCTTTGTATGCAGTTTAAAATTACTGTTACTTGTTATAGAGTTTGGCAAGTCAAAATATTTGAGTTTGACCGTCTTGGATATACATTTATTGTCCTTTTTTTAACATATGCTTTGAAAATGTAATGTTGTGTATTCTGGGCTATGCTCATAGATATACGTTGTATTTAAAGCTTAATACATAAATCAAAACTCATATAAGTGCACTATATAAGCACTAATAATATAAGTTGCTGCTTTGTGATATGATAAATGAAGAGTGGGAAGAATATGGTAAATGAGATAAGCCCTCTGAATTGTGTTGATTATTTTTTCTGTTGTTTTGTTTAAAAAGGGACCTTTACCATTTGGATTCAAAAAATAAACATATTACATTGTATCTGAATGTTTTGTTTAGACATGATATTTTTACTGGATATTTGAACATGTCATTAATAGCTTTTAAACCACATTTCTCCATAATCTTTCTCAGAGCAACTGTGGAACTTCATAATTTTGTCAGTATGTGGAAGCAGATGGGACCAGCTGAGTCAGTTGTCCTTGACTGAATCACAGAAACACATACTAGATATTCTAGGTTTAAAGGTTCTATCAGCCCTGAATTCCAAAAACAGGTTGAAAATTCTGCCTCTCCGATCATGGAAATTGTGCTCACCTTTGAACTTTTCTGCTTAAAATGATACAGACTGCAGAGAAGTCAATATTTAAATGCACCATAAATGGTTTACTATCTACATATAAGATACCTGCAGTGTATTCAGATGGAGAGCTGCATTCTCACTGAGCTGCACTGGCAGCTGCGCAGTCATTCTGCAAGTTGTTGGCCAGTCCAGTGAAACTCCTCAATGCCTTCTGGGGACAAACAAGACAGTTAAGGAAAGGAGACTCTCACCTGAGGCACTCTTTCTGGCATGCACGTAACTTGCATGTGCTTGAATAACTGCATCCAGGCTCTGTTCTTACACAATTTGATTTGTTTATGTGGTGCCCAGAGGGATGTGCCATTGCCATCATACTAACACAACAACAATGTTATTTTTGTATTTGCAGAGCTTGCTGCATGTATGTGCTTTCTTATGCTTTTCAAATAAATCAAAGCATCACTAGGTTACAGTAAACATGTCATCAGAAGTACTTGGCTATAAATTGATTCCTAAAGGATTTTTTCTTTGGGTATCAACAAAATTTGCATGTGTCCATTTACATTAAAATTTTAGGTACAGAATTCTAACACAGCAAGATTTATAGTCGGTAAAGCAAGATCTTCAAAAATGTATACACTCTGGTTTTATTCAATTGCTTTTCACGTCTCTTACCTAAAAATGCTTCAGAAGACACTGTATTTCAAAATCAAAGAGAAGAGGTTTTATTTTATAAAGCATTTCTTGTGATTTTGTCTGAGTGTTCAGCCACACACCAGTAGAGATTTCAAGGTGTGTATCTCTTGTCAGGCACAATGGAAACGAAGTACTAAATTCTAATTCAATGTAGAAGATCAGTGAAGGCATGACTTAAACATACTGTGTGAGTTTGCTAGGTACCTTCCATTATTGGTAACACTTCAAAAGGCAGAAGTTTGTGGTAGAAAATGTCACAGACAAAAGCTGAGATGTGTAATCACAGAATCGTAGAATGGCTTGAATTGGAAGGGAACTCAAAGCCCACCCAGCCCCAACCCCTGCCATGGGCAGGGCTGATCCCCACCAGCTCAGGCTGCCCAGGGCCCCGTCCAGCCTGGCTTTGAGCACCTGAAGGGACAGGGCAACCTGTTTAGTGGCTCACCACTCTCCAAGTAAATCATTTCCTCCTAATATCTAACCTAAATCTCACCTCTTTTGGACTGAAACCATTCCGCCTTGTCCTATCACTATCACACAATGGCAATTCTTCATACATAAAAAATTACAAGAATTTTGAGACTGCCTTTATACAGGCACTTTTTGAGACAACAGCAGAGGCCATCTAAAATCTTGTTTTTAAATTTTCACATAAATTTTCAGTAAAACTTGAGACAGGGAGTCACCAAACTACAAGATGGTTGAGACTGGCAGATACAATCCTTAAGAGTAGGCCACTGTTAGGACCCACACCAGTGGCATGGGAGAAAAAGGTTTTCTTACATTTAATTAGAATTAAACCTTTTTCAATTTGTCCCGTAATTTCAGCTATGTACCAACAATGCAACTGCAAGAGTAATGAAGCTAACAGATCCAATTGCACCACTGATGGGCAGTTGACTTAAGGTGTTGACTTAACTACATTAAGAATTTATACTGTCAAGTGTGGATCGAGTTCTACCAGGCGTAGTCATGTCCCTCCATACATAACCACATTTTTTTAAAAAAATATCTTGCTATTTGCGTCATTAGACCCGCTGAAAAGTTTTAAAACTCACAAACCCTCGTCAGGCCTACAGAATAACATTTCAGACACTACTAGCAGAATCTTAAAATCATGGAAGATCCTGAGTTGGAAGGGCCACAAGGACCACTGAGCACAGCTCTGGCCCCACACAGCACCACCCGCTGTTCAAACGCTGTTTCTGAGGGTGATATCCGAATGCTCCTTGAACTCCGGCACTGGGGGCCGTGCCCACAGCCCTGTGGTGCAGCCCCTTTCCCTGAGCCCCAGCTGCCCTCCCCTGACAGCTCCATGCCGTTCCCTCGGGCCCTGTCGCTGTCACACAGAGCAGAGCTCAGCGCTGCCCCTCCGCTCCCTGTGAGGAGCTGCAGCCGCCATCAGGCCTCCCCTCAGCTCCTCTGCTCTGCGCTGACTGTAATTTGAAACATATCAAAATCAGAAAATAATAGAAGCGTTAGAGTTGGAAGAAACGATTAAAGGTCATCGGGTCCAATTCTGCTGCAGTAAACAGAGACACCTACAACTTAATCAGGATGTTCAGCCCCATCCAGCCTGATCTTGTGTGTCTCCAGGGATGGGAACCGCTTTGCAAACATGTACTTCTCTAAACATTGATCTTGCACCTGGCTGTGCTCACGTCTTGATCTATGTTCAGCTTCACATTCACATTCCTTGAGAAAAGTTTCTCTGTAAGTTTTTCCTAATAAACTTCTTTAACAAACTATCATCTTTGTGCAGTCCGAAGATGTACCCCAGGTTAATATTTATAATCAAGTTATAAATCACTAAGGAATTTCTGCCATTTGGGTTACAAATGCACATGTACAAAAGCACTACCTCACAAAACATCAAAGTCCCGAGAACAAAAGAAAACTAGAATTAAAAAGTAATCCTTGCTGTCTTACATGCTAGTGCCTACCTATAGTACAAGTTTGAATTGGTAATGCACGCTTTCTGAAGTACAGCCTTGCATATTTCTGTACTTACTTTGTGTCCAGCCTGTGCAAACCTGCATACTTAAAAAACAAAATCAGAAAAACAAAGTTATTGTTCTAGCACTCTTTCACCAGCCTGCAGCTGGTGATGGCAGCACATCTAATGCAACAAGTCCTTTAGGCCCCTCAACCCCTGCACAATGGGGAACTGACAGCAGGAGCTGGGCAGCTGGACTGCTCCTCCACATGCATAGGATCATAGAATCATAGAATCATAGAATCATAGAATCATAGAATCATAGAATCATAGAATCATAGAATCATAGAATGGCCTGGGTTGAAAAGGACCACAATGATCATCTAGTTTCAACCGCCCTCCTATGTGCAGGGTCCAGGCTGCCCAGAGTCATATCCAGCCTGGCCTTGAATACCTCCAGGAATTGGGTATTCACAACCTCAATGATGGGACACACTGTAGCTTCCCACTGGGCCCTTCACATCTCGATAGTTTTGCTCAAGGTGGTTATTACTTTGGTAGAATATAAAAAATAACAGTCCCTGGCCAGACAAGTGCCAGTGGGAAGCTTTGTAACCAGGTCAGTGTGGCGCTGAGCCCAAAATAACGAGCTCAGTTTATTAGGTCTTTGGTACACTGCCTGAGGTTAAGCCTGTCATGGCCTCAACAGAAAAAGGAAGAGCAGCTGAGGGAGTAATCCTACGGAACCTAAAGACAGAGGAATGAGATCACCCCTCAGACTAAACTTGTTTGGTGAAAGAACCAAGATACGCACAGGGGATCTCTTGCTCAGGCAGAGATAGTATGGGAATAACTCAATATTGTGCTCAGCTGAGTAGTATGGGAATAAAGACAAATGTGAACATGATCTCATGCTGATAGACATCAAAAAAAATGAGTGAGGAACTCATCTTGGTGTAAAACAAAAGGAGGCAAAGGTGGCCTCCTGGACAGGAGCTGTTCTTTGAGATTCTCAGGGATTCACCAGAATTTTCCCAGTATAGAAAGAATACTTCTGAGAATCCAATAACAACTGAAAGCAGCATAGATGTCAGGATGCAGAGAAGGAGCACAGACCAAGCAGCAAAACAAAGTGATGAAAATACTGAGCAGAGTGTATTAGCCTAGGAGCTTGTAGTAACCTCTTTGCCACAATTAGCACCACAGAATGAATGAATCACAGAATGGGGGAGGTTGGAGGGGACCTCTGGAGATCACCTGGCCCAACCCCACTGCTCAAAAAGGGTCTGCTAGAGTACATTACCCAAGATCATGTCCAGATGCCTTTTGAATATCTTCAGGGAATGAGCAACTCTCTGGGCAACATGTGCAAGTATTCAATCACCCAAACAGTAAAGAATCTTTTCCATGTGTTAAGAGGGAACTCCCTGTGTTTCTTTTTGTGTCCATTGCCTTCTGTCTTATAGCTGGGCACTACTGAGAAGTGTCTGACCCTATCCTCTTGATGTTGTTGATATGGCCAACCTGTTGCCCACCAGGACACCCAGATCCTTCTTTGCAGAGATGTTCTCCAGCAAGTTAGCTCCTGTACAGACACATGGGTTTATTCCCCCTCGGGTGCAAGACCCCGCACTTGACCTCGTTGAATTTCAAGAGGTTCTAATCTGTCTATCTCTTCAGCCTGTCAAGATCCTTCTGAACAGCAGCACAGCACTCTGGGCTATCAGCCATTCATTCCAGACTCTTACCATCAGCAAATTTGCTTGTGAGGCACTCCATTCCTTCATCCAAATCGCTGAATTAGTTAAATAATACTGGATCTAGTTTGATGCTGCTACCTACACGCCTGCAATTAAATTCCACAGCATTGATCACAACCCTCTGAGACCTGATCTTTGGCCAGTTCTTAATCTATATGATGATCTACTTATCCAGACTGTGCTTCCTCAGGTTGTCTACGGGGATATCATGAGAGCTAGTGTCAAGAGCTTTGCTAAAGACCAACAGCATCCACAGCTCTCCCCTCTTCTGTCCAGCCAGTTGTCCCATCATAGGAGACAATTGGATTGTTTAAGAATGATTTCCCTTTGATGAATCCATACTGACTACTCCTGATCACA